GGTTCTGCATGTATATGAAAGCCTTGTTCTGAACCCTACTTGCGATTTCTACTACTCTCTAACAATAAAACATTACTCTTTTTACATTTTCTTTGAGGGCTGGCAAAGGCCGCACCCCCGACTCTCCAGCTGTTCGAGTAGTCTTCCCATCTTGATCAGTACCACAGCCATTGTCCTGAGCATCGGGTTCCATGTAGAATCTGGCTCGAAATGCAGCTAAATGTGCATAATATGCAGGAGGAACTGCAAAAAACAATAGATCATGGGTCAGTTCAATGAAAACTCATATGACTGACCTTGTCTTTCACACTTTTCTTATATACTAAACTAGAAAATGATCAATCATAATATATGGACCAATATCATTCATGACAATGCAGGAAAAGCTATGGTCCAGTCAATTCAGAGAGGCAACATACCCACAGAGACAGACCGGGTGCATCTTGCATATGTATAGCAGAGATTGTTCGTTAGTGACTGAATTCCATCGGCAGTAAAATTGTTCTCATCCCAAAGAACATGGTAATGCGCTGGACGACTAGTTCCCTGCATAGAAAGGAATAGGGAATTTAATATTAGAAATATTAAAAATCTTACAACTGATTAAAACAATTCAGGATGAAATTAGAAACATCACATACTCAATCTTTGAATTAGTTTAACTAACTCCAGTATTTTCTCAAACCTACTTCCAGTAATGAAATTGTCAGAAGAGTTTGGAAACTATAACATGAAAAGGAGTATACAACCATGCAAAAGTTTCTCCCAAGCCACACGTGCAACTGTGTAAAGAAGACAATTAACTGAATGATACGCTAAGCTGAGAGGAGGTAGGCATCAGTTGATTTGTCAAAAGAATAGTATTGTTCTTGGCATCTAAATATATAAGAGTAGCTTGAAGGCGAAACTTTTCACCGTAGCCTTGGTTCATTGTTTTTATATATAAACGATAAGACACTTATATCCAGTGGTTGAGTTTTGTATGACAGTTACAAGGGAAATCATATCTAACTTTTTTTCTGAGGTTCAATCCTAGAAGGAAAGAGACTCAAATACTGATTTTTTTGTGTAAATAGCTATTTTGATTGTCATCAAATTATGCCTATGAACTTGGTACTGACTTTGGAGGGAAGCAATAGATGGGACTTGGGAGAAGTGTGCCCGGAGGAACATAGTCGGTGCTGATGAAGGACAAGAGGCGGAGGTCTCAGATATTAGATGGGTTTTGATGGAAAGAAAAAAAAAGTTACAGATCAGTGAGAATCAGTGGAGGGGGCTTTAAAGAATGAGAGGTGGGATAAAGATTAATGAGGTACAAGTTCTTGCTATGTATGCATTAAGAGCCAAATAAGAATACAAGTTCGTCTTCTTTCCAGGTAAGTTGGTTCATCAAACACATTTGCATGGCAGAAAGGTCTTATATATTGTTTTAATTATAATATATGGTATTGATAACTCGTGCATTAGGAACCAAATAAAGAAAAATAAATCAAATCTTCTTCTGTGATGGAAATGACGCTTTGTCACCTTCCCAGTTATAAATGCAAGAGAATTTATTATTGGTATTCCATATTAATACCTCACAAAAGATAACAGAGTTTTTACCTGAATTCCAGCATGGCTGCAGAGATAAAAGTCAAATTCCGTTGGATGACAGATTTTAGAATCAACCACCGTGCCTGTTAAAACAAGATATGTCATTAAACATGGAAACCGAACACAAGCTAAAATTCCTAGTATTTAGAATTCAACAAAGATATGTTTTGCATTAATTACTAGTTACCAGGTAATATGTTTCCGCTCTTGTCGGTGCTGCTCTTGTCCCTATGATTGTTTGCAAACAGTCTTGTGTGATGTCGTTTTTGTACCACAATAAAAGTCACTGGTGGTTGGTAGTTTGGTTCTAAAGAGGCACATGCCTGCATAAGGTTTAAGGCACGTTACACAAAATAAACAGGCTTGATTCAGGCATGTTTTATGCAGTGAGAAACTTACAGAGAAGAAAATAAGACACAGACAAATTATCACTAACCTTGCGGATTGCATCCAACTCAAACAAAAGGATTTGATAAAATTGCCCTTCACTCACACCGTCCCTGCTCAGTTAAAAATACACAGGCTATAAACTTGCTCATGCATGCATCCAGTTAAAAACGTGCGAGAGAAAATATATAGCAATGTTCACATATACTTATTGAAAGGAAAGATGACTTGGAATCAGGGGCCAAATATGTGTAATCATTTTGATCCTGGATTTGGACTTGAATAGCCGAGATTAATTTATAACGGAATCTTATAACAAAGGTAAGCGTTTGTTTCATTTGGATGCATGTTCGTGATTAATATTGCTTTCAACCAATATAGACATTAAGAGAGTTGTATTCACCTGTAAAATATTATCCTCTGTGGCTTTTGCCCAGTTGCCTTTCTGAAAGAAACCAAAAGATCCCTGCAGAAAGAGAAAAAAATGGTATACAAACTATAAATACAGAAGTAATACCACAATTCCCCATTAAAGGTAAAACACAACAAATAAAATAAATGAAAGAGAAGAAAATTATGAAATGAATTTAAGCTAGCAAAATGTGAGGCTTAGCAAATTTTCTTACCGGATCATGCCACCACTAACTGGTCCACGGATAGGGTCATGCCATGCCTTGTATAAATCTTGTATGAGTTCTTGTCTATGAGCTTGAGCACAAACCAGTCCTGCATATTTAGTGACCTCTGGCCAATCTTGAGAAGCTACAACCTGATGTTTAGAACAAAAAACTTTATTCAATATGACATGATATGGTCTTAAAAAGATGATCCAATAAGAAAACTTCAGTGGAGGAACTTTACAGCAGCTACTGATGGGCTGGAGTCCTCCCCATTCTCCGGGTGAGTCACATCTGCCCCGAATATGATAGTGGGTATATCACTAACCAATGGTATTCTACAGCTTATGGCATCCAAGAGAACAGTGTTTCTGCCACCCATCTGCTCAACGTATATTAATTCAGAAGTGAAAATCTAATACTTGGATGTAAAGCAAGTAGGTTTTAGAATGACTAAACTGTTATCCATGATTCAAATGAGATAACATGTTAGTGAACCGCAAAACATTTCAGTAAAATCAAAAGGCATGCCATGAATGATCAAACAATCAATTTGTACCTTGACATTTATCTTCAAGGACACATTAGACAAATATTGCTTGCTAATCTTGAAGACGTATTTTGTAAGACAGCATTGTGATATCAAGCCTAGATCAGTTTCACATATTCGCTTCAGATCACCTATCACCAAAGAATCGGACATAAGTGAATGTTAATTCACAAAAAACGATGGTTTTTGTATCTAAACCTGAAAACCAATTTCATATTTGTGCAGCATACCATACAAGGACCCGTTATTGTCAGGCAAAATGGCTAACACAAGATCCAATTCTTTTCCTTTTAGTTTGTTCATACATGCATGATAAACCTGCTTCAAAGCTTTCTCTACTTGCTCAGGCCTCGCTGGGTAGATTGGAATGACAGGTTCCGGATTGAATTCCTTAAAGACGATAGGAAATTAGATAATGGAATACAATACAAAAACATGTGCACACAAAAGAAAGAATAAAACGTAGAGAAAAGAAGGAAATTCTACCATGCCAGATACTTGACACATCTGAACCAGTTCACTGCAAAACCCACGAGCGACACTCTCTTGGACACTGCGTGAAAAGTTGATACATGCCCAACGGCTAACAGTCATCCCATTGATCATTTTCTGTGCACGTGAAAATCACAATTGAGATTCAAAAGCTAGTTGAGGAATAGGTATTAGTATTTTCATATCCCAGAGGTAAAAAAGGAAAAGAATTGTAACTTTGACATGTAAAAGGAAAGCAACCTTGTTCATCATATTCCACTGCCCAACTTGAGGCAAACAAACTTTTTCTTTCCCTGTCTCATGATACTTCAACTGCATACATGCAATGCAGGTTAAGGAATACGGATAGAACAATATTTCAAGTAACAAATAATTTTTTTGTGAAGGATTACCCAAGGAGCTGGCAGAACTCTTGCCTCCACGGAAGCTAGGTTTTCACTGATTTTGATTCCAAACTCCTTTGCATATGAATCTTGCTCATAGGCATTGTGTTGAACAGTCTGCATTCAAGTTAAATAAAAATTAAAGATGACTACTTTGAGGATACAAATTTCAAATATCGTAAAGGCCTCCTTACGAAAAATTATGCATATAACTTAGACATTCAATTACTTGAATAAACAGAAGCACTGATGCTCGCAAGACATTGATAGTCTTAGATGAACAAAGGAACTGATATGCAATTTAAGCTTCATACCCAACTTAAATGTGTGTGACAACATTTAGCATCGAAGGACTGAAAAAATATAATGTGCCATGTTTCATTGATCGTGATTAGTTCGAGAGAATGAACTAGTAATTTTCATTCTTCAGCTGTTTTACTGAAGATGGTGGGATGGATTAGAGATACTAATATCCTTTTTCATGCTGAAGTTCTTAGCAACAGAATATTTCATAATGCAAATTTTTTTTTATATATAGCCAAATTTTCAAAAAATGAATTTTACTAGTCCATACGATACTAAATGAAATTGAAATTAGATATGATTATCATCAGATACCTGCAGGATATCGTTTTCTCGATCTCGGGGCCGCTGGCATGTAAACTTAAGAAGAGAAGTAATTTGTTTTTCGCTCAACCTTTTTGTATACCTTTGGCCCTCAACAATTTTGCAGGCCTAAGGAATGAAGCATTAAGACAATAAATAGGAGATCGAAATAGAAGAAAAACACTCTTAAATCCCTTTCATATACTATTCCTTACCTCCATTGGTAAATAGTTAGCCTTCTTCAGGTTTCCAACTTGAAGGCAAGGCAGATGACTATACTGAATTGTAAAGCCATACATTTCTTGAAAATATTCAACCACTGACTTCATATTTGAGTGTTCGTCAACAGGAAACCTGGACATAGGACCACTAGGTTATTCACTCAGTCAACCATCTGTTTAGAAAAATGAGCAACACAGAGCAACTTAAGAATGATTTCAAGTTGAAGGAAGAAACAAGGAAAATAGGACACCCAAAGACTGGTGTCTATGTTTTCGACACTAACAAATATTGCTCTTGAGAAAAACAAAATAGCATACCAATGTATGGTAAGCCGAGATCGATTAAAAAGGCTAATTATTTTAAATGCATTACAACTCCCAAATAGCACTTACTATTCAACTTTTTTAGCAATTGTAGTTGGATTAGTTTCCCTGGAATATATGATAAAGTATATCGATCAATATCATTAACGGAACCCATTATGCAACGAACAATAATCTTACACTAGTTCTCGAGTGGGTTGAGTGGTAATGCCTGAAACTCGATATTTTCTTCGTACATTTTCTCTGTGAGTCACTTCAACTTTCACTCCTCTAAGGGCCTTTTTAACCTGAAATGAATTTCAGAGAGAATTTAACATTGAAAAGATGAACATGAAATCATTCTAGCGTATCTCACATCAAATGACGACAAGTACCTTAATGCGGTCAGCATCAGACAACATCCTTGATAACACATCTTTCCCTAGCAGCTGGGCAACAAATTCTATAACTGGCAGAGCCTCAATAAATGCAGCTGAAGTCATATCTATAATGCATTAAACAAAGAATGTAATGTAAGGGTTCATGATGAAGTTGATGAATTTTCAACTGGAAATCAAATTTGATGCTCAATTACCGATATTAAGTGACAGGCCCATCTGAGTAGGCCTTATGCTCTGGTAGAATCCACACCATGCCTCTAAGCCATTACCAAGCGAATGTGGTCTCCGGATGTCAGGAGAAAAGAACGATCTTCCAACAGGGCAGTACCTTTTAAACGAGAACATGAAACACACAAGTCAGTGATTAGGAAAAGTCATAAATTGCTATTACTAGTTTACAGACACTTCAAGCACTGTTTAATACCTTTTCATTGAGAGCTCTCTCAACACAATGTCGAGAATTTGGAGGGCGTCCTGTGGACCATCCGCACGCTTACCAGAAAGAAATTGCCCCAGATGATGTAAGTTTGCGCGTGCGACAAACTTGATAACAACTTTGTATTCCGTCTCTCTCCTGCCACATGTACAAAGTATGCTCAGTCAGCTTTCACAAATGCATAAACAAACTGAAGCAAATCAACAAATTAGAGTCTGTTCTCTTTACCATTGTCAAACCGTTTTTTGTTTTCAATTTTCCAAAACAGTGAAAACGCATTCTCTTTCCTATTTTCGAAAACTCGTTTTTGAAAACAAGTTAAAAATTTACAAAAAAAATCAAAAACGACAAATTTGTCGTTTTGGGTGTTTTCAATTATAATCAAGCCAAAATTTTCAAAATGCGTTTTGGGTGTTTTCAAAACAATTTTTCAAAATGCAAAAAAAAACACATTTTCAACAATCTTAAAATAGACACTTAAAATACAAAATTCAAAATGAATTCAAAACTCAAAACACAAAACTGAAACACAAAGAGAACAACCCTTTAGTTTCTGCTTAGATTTCTTTTTAGACGGCATTTTCCAGCAATTATTGCAGTGGTATTAATTTCAGTATCAAGAAAGCGGATATTCGTAAAAGGCAGATTTGGCTGTAATAGGTAATAAGAATTCTTACTTGGGACCGTTGATTCCATCCTCGTCATCTATAAGTTTAATGGTGAATTCCTTCCTGGCAAATGGAAGCTCACCAGCAGTGTAAAGACTCCTTCTACCATCGTAAGCTGGTAATCTCATCCCTAACTCAGATTCTTTGTACAGTTTCACCAGTTCAGCAATAATTGCTCTGTTTACAGTTCTTGATACCACTTCAGGGATTATAGTAACCTGTTAGCAACAGGACACAGATAGTAATACAAACCATATGGAACAATAAGAACAATATTAATGACCAACAATAAAGACTAATCAATGCTGCAGAAGCAAAACACAAAGTAAAAACAGAAGCCTAAATCAATGACACCTGCAAAGAAACAGCATTTATAAGAGGAAGACTGCACCGTAAATATACTGATTAAGGGCCCCAGAAGTTTGTGTCACATAATTGATCACATTGATTATTTTTCTTCAATATACCCTCCATATATGTTGAATAGGACCTATCAAGAAAAGGAACTTACATCATACTGGATCAAATCCTTGTCCGGTAACTCGGCAAAGAAATGGTTAGCCTTCACTATGCATTTTGTCCCAAGTTGCCCATACCCTGGCCTGGGTGCAAAACTCAAAGACTTGGTTGAAGAAGGAAAAAACACTTCTGCTTCACATAAGGTGCCTCCATTCCCTACCAACCCATTAGTCATAGCAGATACAGTAGCTCGAGTCAGCTCTGCAATAACCGGACTATCTGTCCCAGTGCAAGGCCTTGAACTTGGTCGCATACAGGCATCAGCTTGATCCGATTTCCGGCCAACTCGTCCCCTTCTCCTTCCTCTATTTCTTGATGGAGGTGAGGACTGGTTTTGAGGCTCTTGGCTTGGAGGACCTTTCCCATTCTGAGCACTCTTGGTGTTCATGATGTTTTGCAACTGGGGTTTAATCACCAAGTGCTGTTCTGAGCTCTCTTTCATTTGTCTCATAGGCATGATGATGATAGAATTTGCTTCCCTTAAATTATATAAAGCACGAGAAATCTGTTCTTTCTCTTCTAGTCCTTGTTCACTGCTGTTGAAACATTTACCTTGTGCTAAAATTCCAGAATTGGAGAATATAGCAGAAGTCAGTAACATATCCCAAATTGAAAAATGTATACAATTATAGAAAAGTGTAAATAATGCATCAACAAATTTCACACGCAATAGCAAAGGATACACATATCCTAAAAACCCAGGAAAAAGAAAAACAGTACAAAATAGTTAAATGTTTTTTAATCAAATTTATCTGACCTAACTTTCTGGGTACCCATAAATTAAGGCTGTTAGTCTCAAAGACATTAACTTGTGTGGTCAAAATCTCACGCCCTCTTCTGGGCTTCAAATGGAAGTAAAAAGCTAATAAATTTACAGTAGGTGATGAACTTTTTACGATTCTGCTGAAGTCCAGAATATGAATTTTGGAAAAGAAGAAACCCAGATACTTGAAGGAAAAACCCGCATGTGCAAATATAAAATTGCTATATATGTTTTATATATACGAGGGAGAAGTGTAATCAAATATAAGATATACCAAGAAGACAAAACCATTCCTTCTTCTTCTCCTAATCCAAACCAAAATCTTGTTGCAGGAAAATGAATAATTCCAAGATAAAAAGACACATGAAACATATATACATACATGCATACACTTGTGTGTGTTGAAACTGGGCATAAATAAGTGTGAAGAAAGAGAATAAAAACGCCTGGGAAGAAACAAAAGTAGCAATCAAAAAGTATATGCACGATAATTAAAAGAGAATATACATTGAAAAACTCACTCGAAATCAATATCTAAAAAATGAAGAAACAAACTCAGAGAAAATGACACATCAAGAAAATAAAAGGAATGATTCTACAAAGAACCCCAAGATTTTATCTTTGAACTCACCAATAAATAACAAAGATTCAGAGAGTTGAATCTGAGAATCAAAGAACTGGACTTTAATCATGAACGGAAAAGATAGAAAGTGAGGATTAAAAGATGGGTTTTTTCAACTTTTTTTCGGGAGTTTCAAAATTGCATATAAAATTACAGAAAAAAAAAATGAAACACAGTAAGTGTGTGTATGGTGTGTGGATTCAAGCAGAGAAATGATGATGAAGATGAATCTTTTATACAACACGCATGCAAATGCTTCCTTTATCACGTGTAAAAGGCTTATGAATGCCTGCCCTATTAACTTTTTTATACTTACACTGCTCTCACTTTAGTGCTCTCTCTCTGCAACCATGAAAATGCATATACATATACATATGTGTATTTATAGAGAGGAAAATGGGATAAATATAAATTTATAAATGAGTCTAACAGAGGCACTGAAGAGATTATGAAACACAGAAGAAGAATAATTCGAAGTTGCTGTCCTCACCACTGCGAAGTTTTCAATAAATGCCATTCCTCTCTCTCTAGATTTTTGTATGTATGTAGTTTTCTCACTCTAGACCAGCTGCAACTGTGCAAATTCAATAACCCAAAATCTTTTGTGTACTAAAGCAGTCAAGGTGTAACGGTTGGTTCAATCTCAAGGTAGAAATGGGTCCACATTTGGTGAACTTTTGGGTCCACAACATGTGTCACTTATCTGCATTTTTGGATTTAAGGAATCATTAGCCCTTACTTAGTTGTCCTTGACCAATTAATCGAGTAGTAAATTTATCTGCAACTTTTCAAAATAAGTGAATTGATTCTTAATCTTTTATTAAAGCTTTACTATCAATCTCCAATCAGACAAATCATCTAAATTTTAATAAATCATTACATGGTACTCGTAGAAATTTGTCACACTTTACTTATGGAAATCAATCCAAATTGAAAAATAAAACTTTATTTCATAAAGTTGAACATGTCAGGGTAAATTTTATCTACGATCGCCAAACTTTCAACAAAATCTCAATTTGAACACTAAAGTCTCAATTTAGTTTCAAGTCGATGAACTTCAATTTTAATTTCGAATTTCACCACTTCATCCCCTACCGGCCCACCTAAATTTATAAAAATTGTTTGACTGGCAGCCATACAAAACGAATCTTTCACATATTTTGTTCTAAGTGTAATGACTCGACTTCTGTGTTTAAGTCGTTAATTTACGTATTGTTTACTTTGAAAGAGTCTAAACTCATCTTACTTTTATAGGTTTTCAACTAAAGTCTCTCATAAAATAGATGTTATGGGTTCAAATCTTATGGGACGCGACAGAGAGCCATTGGGAGTAAGATGAGTTTAGGCTCTCCCAAAGTGAAAAATATGTAAGTTAACGACTTGGGCACAGATGTTTAGTTATTAGAAAAAAATGCACATTTTTTGTAATAATCCGAGCCTTGTTCTAACCGCTTTCTTAAGCACTTTATGAAAGTTTAAACATATCTTATCCTTCACGAATTTTTATCGCATCTCCAAAATTCAAACACAAGACTTTTGCCTTATAAGAGAAAAAAGTTGGATCCTTGTACCAATTTACCCATCATGAATTTCTAGCGTATCTCTTAGTACTCAAACATAAGACCTCTGCTTTATAAAAGACTTGAGCCGAATCCTGATAACAATTGGTATTAGGATTCAACTTGAGTCTTTTATATATGTCTTGTGTTCGAATTCTGAGGACACGATAAAAATCTAAGAGTAATATAGGTTCAAGTTTTTCCAGAGCAGGCAACAACACGCAAGAGAACGACTTGGTAATGAGGTTTGGATCATTATCATGATTCAACTTAAGTATCTCATAAGACAAATATCTTGAGTTTGAATCCTGTGAGACGTGATAAAAAATTGTGAAGGTTCTCCTAAAGTAGACAATACGTGAACGATCGAGCATGAGACTTGAGTCGTTAAAATTTGTGAGTGATAAGATGGGCTTAAACTCTTTCAAAGCGGACTCGAAGTGAAAGGGCCCCGACTTATTTC